ATCTTAATTTATATATCATATCTAACAAAAAGATAAACGGGTAATACCCGTTTTGGAGTTGAGTAACACATTTTTTGATTTGGATATGATCCGGATCCCGAGTCGCAGCTCTAATCTATTGATTAGCACAAAATGCAAAACCATAAGGTTGCATCATTTATTTTTTAGATTTAAACCATCTTTACCATAAATTTAGTGCATCAGCAGCATTAAGTTATTTTCTGCTAAGCTATTTTTTTTTTATTGGCAGAAGTCGGGTTAATAGGTGCATGAATGTAAGCACAAAATATTCAAAGTTCACAAATTATTTTACACATAAGAATTATTCAAAGTATGAAATAAATTAAAAAGATGAAATAAAATAATAAAATGGCAGAGTCGATAAAATATCTTCATTGACATAAAAATTCATGTTACGATATACGTGCATGAATGTATGATGATATGGTTTAAGTTTATTAAAAATGATATTTAATTAATTATGTACAAATATAATAGCGAATAATAATCATTTAATAGCAAAATTATTTTTTTTAAAAAAAAAGTAGAAAATTATTAAACAGTGAATGTTTTTTAAGTTTCTTGTTGTTTTAAAAGAATATTTAATCTTTTTTTAGCTTTTAGACATCCATTTTTTTTAGCTTTTTTATACCAATAGATAGCTTTTATTATATTTTTTTCAGTTCCTTCTCCTAATTCATATAATGAAGCAAGACTTCTTTGTGCATCGATACTCCCTTTTCCTGCAGCAATTTTATATAAATTATACGCTTTTTCTTTATCAATATCAACTTCAATTCCATGTTCATAGTAATAACCAAGTTTATACTGAGCATCAATAAATCCTTGATCAGCTGATTTCTTATAATATACAAATGCTCGTGTTTCATTTTGAAAAATACCTTCTTCTGAATAAAGTTCACCTAATTCATACAATGCAACTTTATTATCATCATTTTCCGCTGCTTTATGATACCAATGATTAACTTTATCTAAAAAATCATTAGAAATACTTTGTGTATTAACATTTTTTTTATTGGATGCCTCATCATATAATTTCAATCCACTTTCTTTATCAATCTCTGTTCCAATACCATTTACATAACAATACCCAAGTAAAAACTTTGCGTCTAAATATCCATTTTCAGCTGATTTCTTATAATATTTGAATGCTTTAACTTCATCTTTTGTTACACCATTTCCTAATTCATAACATTCGCCTATGTTATATTGCGCAAGTTCATCACCATTTTCTGCTGCTTTATGATACCAATAAACAGCTTCCTTTAAATCTTTTTTTGTTCCATGACCACTATAATATAAATAACCGAGTTGAATTTGAGCATCTAGATTATTTTGATTAGCTGATTTTTTATAATATTCAAGAGCTTTAGTTTCATCTTTTTCTACACCTTTTGCAGAAAGATAGCACTGGGCTAAATTATATTGTGCCATTTTATCACCATTATCTGCAGCTATTCTATGCCAGTAAACAGCTTTCTCTAAATCCTTTACTGTTCCTTGACCATTACTATATAAATAACCAAGTTGAACTTGAGCATTTAAAAATCCTTGATTGGCTGATTTTTCATAATAATTAAAAGCTTTTGTTTCATCCTTTTTTACACCTTTAGCAAAAAAGTAACATTCACCTAAATTATATTGTGCTATTTTATCACCATTTTCTGCTGCTTTACTATACCAATAAATAGCTTGATCTAATTCTTTATTAAAATGTTCACATAAAATTCCAATATTGCATTGTGCAACAATATGATCTCTCTCAGCTGCTAGTTTATATAATTCACATGCTTTTGTTTTATTAACACCAATTCCGAATCCTTTATCATAACAATATCCAAGTTCAAATTGAGCATCTAAATATTCTTTTTCAACTGATTTTTTAAAATATTCATATGCTTTAACTTTATTTTTTTTAACTCCTACTCCATGTTTATAACAATAACCTAAATAATATTGTGCTATTTCACATTCACTTTCTTCTGCTTTCCTATACCAATAAATAGATTTTTCAACATTTTTTTCTATTCCAATTCCATTTTGATAACAATAACCTACATTAGATTGTGCTTTTGCATTTCCTTTTTTAGCAGATTTCATATACCAATCAAATGATTTATTTTCATCTTTAGGAGTTCCAGTTCCATTCTTATAATAATTACCCAAAATCATTTCTGCATCTATAATTCCTCCTTTAGCAGCCATCATATATAATTCAAATGCTTTATTTTCATCTTTAGATGTTCCAATTCCATTTTGATAATAATTACCTAATCTATATTGAGCACATAAATATCCATTTTTAGCAGATTTATAAAACCATTCAAATGCTTTTTTATCATCTTTATTTATTCCTATTCCATTTTTGTAAGAATCACCTAAATTATACTGAGCATATAAATCTCCATCATTAGCTGCTTTTAAATATAAATCAAATGCTTTCTTTTCATCTTTTATTATTCCAATACCATTTTTATAACAATAACCTAAATTATTTTTTGCACTAGAATTTCCTCCTTCTGCAGATTTTAAATAAAATTCAAATGCTTTTTTATCATCTTTCTTTTTTCCTATTCCAAATTGATAACAATAACCTAAATTATTCAATTCTATTAATTCTTTCTTTTTAATAATATTTAATTGATTTTCTTCATTATTAGCATCTTTTGAATTAAAATAATTTTCCATAGCATTTAATTCATCTTTACTTAAATTAATCATTAATAATAAATTATTAAAATTTTCAAATTGATTATGTGACATTACATGTACATTATCAGAACATAAAAAATCATTTGTAATATAATCTCTTTTATCTAAAATAATAAATTTATAATAATAAAATGATAATAAAAATTTTGAAATGATAATATTAATTAATTGATAAATAGAAAAAAATGATTTTTGATTATTATTATCATTATTATTATTAATTGATAATAAATATAATTCTAAAGATTTATCTTTATTAATAATATTATCATTAGTACCTATACCATGTTCATAAAAAAATCCTATTAAACTTGAAAACCAATTTTCATTCTCATCATGATATTCCATTATTTTTAAAAAATAATATAAATCTTTATTATTATCATCAAAAAATTCTTTTATCCATTCTTTTAAAATATTTTCAAAATTTGCATAATTTTCTATTTTTATAATTTGACGATAAAATTCTTTTAAAAATTCTTTTAAAAAAATTTCATCATTTTCTGAATATATAATCATTTTCCTTTTTATTGAAGAAAGGTCGTGAATAGGTTAGAGTATTACTCATAATTATGAGTGGTTGTAAAAGTAATATATTATTTGTTACACTTTTCATAAACTATTAAGGAAATGATTAATTGATAATGTTGCACAATGAGTAATTTTCACGGAGCGGTCGGAGCGCGGCACAAGTTAATAGCGATCATCATGTGAGTTTTTTTATTCACGTTGATCATCAGAGATAATTAACGTAAAGTGGTAAAGGAAAGGGGTAAAGTTTAATTAATAGCATTACTTTTTAAAATAGAAATTTAATAAACAAAAAAAAGAGATAAAATTGTGCTATTTTATAATCATCATATAATATCTTTACTTTATTTCTCCGTTTTTAAAAATTCTGATTCTTTTCCATTTTCTTTAGCTATGATTTTTTTTGCACTTTCCTTTACAACTTTACTTTAAGCAATTCAGAAGATATTTTACAGGAAAACAGTAATTCTTTGTTTTAAGTTGTTTCGACTTTCGAAGGTTTCGAGTGTGCATGATAATATAATTTTTACATATATTTTTTTTTATGGTTTTGGTAGTGGCAAGGCGTTTTTATTAGCTATTAGTTTCATATCAATATAATTTTTACATATATTTTTTTTTATGGTTTTGGTAGTGGCAGGGCGTTTTTATTAGCTATTAGTTTCATATCAATATAATTTTTACATATATTTTTAAAAGTATTTTTCTATTTTACTAACACTTGTTATACACATTTCACTGATAGCCATTTTGCTGATATGATCAACATAGTATCGACACGATCATGGAGTTTTTCTTTAAAAGTATCCTATTTATTTTTAATTATTTTTACTAATCAACAAAAAGCAAAAGGTTTTCAGTGAATAATATTTATTTTATCATGTGAAATCAGATTTATACTAAGATTTTTTTTTAACTATTAAAAAATTGGAATTTATTTATCCAGCTTGGACGCGTATTGTTTCGGTAAGGGCTTCCGAAAAAAAATATATATATATTTTAATTTATTTCATTAGCGAAACGTTTTACTAACGTTTCGATTTTCTTTTTTTTTATAATTTTATTGTTGTAATTTAAAAGTAAACAAAGCCTATAATTTTTTTAAATTATGACGAGCGAGGCGCAGCTAACTGATGAATTTATTTAAATAATTTCGGTAATTTCCATGTCGGTAAAATGAAAGTCGACAAAATGGTGTCGGTTAATTTCATGTCGGTGAAATCTGAATTTAGATACTATTAATCAATAAAAATTATTTTTCGTCAATTTTTATTTTTTTATCAGTTCAGGACTCCTGTTACTTGGAATTATTTCTTAATATTTTTGTAAATTATGGTTGAAATTTAGTTTAAATTATGAAATGATTGTAATTATAACTAGGAAACGGGAACCGTTGTAAGTCCGGAACGAAAAACTAAAATTTGCCGATTCATTGGGTGACGATCACGTGGCGGACAGAGAAACTCACGTGATCGATTTTTTTTCATAGTGCGTAAACATATATTGTCCTTCGCTTCGCTCCGGACAATAAACAAATTATATGATATTAATTTATTAAAATTTAATAAATAAATAAAAATAAATAAATTAAAATATGAATCGATATAGGAAATTTAAATAAAGTGTAATGGATGGTATAATTTATATTGAAATTAAAATATTTTATACCTTATTTATAAAAAAAATTTATAAAAACAAAATCATAATACTAAATGTTACCGTATATGAAATGTAAGGATAAATGAGGACCTATATATAGGCTTTAAGAATTTTGATGTCAATATTCAGATATCAAAATCAATTTCTTGCGAAATATATCCTATATTTTAAATTAAAAAATTAGGTTAAAATAATAAAATATTCATAAAAATATAATCTAATATTTACTTACTTTCATCATCAATAGAATTTATATCGATATCCAATTCAAATTCTTGCTTAATATAAACTAAATAAACGAAAATAAATAATTTTAATTAAGAATTAATAATACTTTTTTTAATAAAGATACAAAAAGTATTACCATTACTTTCATTTTCAATTAACCTAATCTTTTTATTAATTTTTTCTGAAAATATGTCAATTTAATTTAGTAAACATTAAATTCATTTTGTACTTATACATATAATTTTTCGATTTTTTATCGTACCTTCATCAAAACGGGTTTTAGTTTGATTATCTTCAAATTTTCTTTTTATACCTTTAAAAGAATATAAAATATATTAATTATTTAAAATCATATTAAAATAATTACTTTTGCCATTAAAAGATGCATTGCCTCTTTAATAACATGAAATAAAGCTAGTAGATAATAACAAATAATAGTGGAGTACAGTATTGTAACTATAGTTTTATCAAGTAAAAATATTAACATTGTATTACCAACTTCCGCAGTTATAAACTGGCTTCTTAAACTTCTTGTAGACATTGCAGATTGAATCATATCACTTAAAGGCCTACTCTTATAAATTGCACCTGGATTATTTGTTGTTACAGGTCCAATTTCTGATGATTTCTTAATTTCACAATTATAACCGTTTATTCTATTAATTCTATTATATATATCAGTCGCTTCTGGTCTTTTATTAGGATCTGAATTCCAACAGTCTTTCATTAATTCAATATATCCTTCGGGCGCATTTGTAACAATTGGTGGCCTTAAACCATCACATATTTCAATTATAAGTTCTGCATCATGAACTCTATTCCAAAAAGGTCTTCTACCTGTCATAAATTCCCACATAATCATACCAAAACTATATATATCTGAAGCTTCAGTATATTTTTGTCCTTGAAAAATCTCTGGTGCCATATAAGGAATAATACCATAATTCTCTATAGAATCTGTAGATTCAGTTGCAGATTTACTTATTCCCAGATCACCTACATATATAAAAATATTATCAAAAAAGATATTTCCACTATGTAAATCTCTGTGTATAATATGTGCACTATGGATACTCTGAAGACCAAGTAATATAGTACTCAATTTTAACAATTTATAATTCCAATCAAGATTATAAAAGTTATTACTTAAAAAACGTATCAAGTCGCCTCTATTATAATATGGCATAATAATCATAATATCTTTGGTAATGGGATCTTGTGTTAATCCTAAATAAGTACTGACGTAAGAAGCATTAATTTTTCTATTTGAAAAAATCCGATAAAATAACTTGAGCTAAATAAAAAATCATTAATCTACCATCATCGTTACATTGAAGATTAAAAAAATATTGAATATACTATACCTCATTCAGTTCCTTTGGTGTAATGTTTTTAGAATTATTAAGGTTTTTGAGAACAACTGTATTATTATATTTGAGACGAAAAAAACTCCAATTTTCTCGTTCAATACCGTGCCAATTAATTGGGCCATCAACCCAAGTAGCTTTATAAATTTTACTAAATCCTCCTTCAGCAATAAATTCTATATCTTTGAATCGATCATGAGGAACAAACTCCAATTTCCCGTCACTTCTAATATAATTTCTCTGTGTATGTGTAATAAAATCATCGATAACTTTGTTTCCACTTGACTTAGGCTTAACTAATGTTGTTATATTATAACACATTTGACAAGTCTGACGATTTTCATATATATTTCTTATTTTCTTACACTCATCACATTTTCTCTTTCTTTTATTAACTATGGTTTGTGTTGGATGATTTAAAAACATATTTTCTGATATTTAAAAGGTCAATTTTACGTATATACAGTATTTTGCTGATTAATATGAAAAATCGATTTAATCTGAGTAAGTTAAGTAAATTATCCAATGTTTATATATATTTTTAATAGTAAAAATAGTGTAACAAACTTTAATAAACAAAATCTCCTGGATTATTCTAAAGATTCTATACGTAGAAGTTTCTATCTGGAAATATTAAATAACTAACTTGAAAACTGTATCTAGAAAATAATTTTTTTGGCAAGAATTCCAACAAGAAATTATGTTGTGGTTCGACCAGTTAGGAAAAGCCATATACATATGTAGGATAATTTGGTGCATAGTTTCATTGGTGCATGATTGTTGATTTGCAACGTAAAGTAAAAAATTTTTTGGTAAATTTAGAATCGGTGTACAACTTTAGTAACACAAACATATGGACTAATTGGACTTATTTCATTGGTACAAAGTAATGACTAGGAAAATTTTGTGCACCAAATAAAAATATAATTTAATCGGCAAATAGGAGGATGAGAGGAACACACTTTCTTAACAAAGCAATATAGTTGGGGGATTGTAGGGGAATCGTCCTATTGGTTATTAACAGGTGTTATTTCGAAGTTAATACTTTACAACATAATAACAACATTGATAAATATTCTAACAGCAGCTCTGCACTATATAATTTTTTAAAACAATTAAGATTTCTGGATATTATAGTCTATTTTATATTATACTTATTTATATAATAAGTAATATATTTCTAAGGTCACCTTTATTTCTTGGTGTTATAGTTATAGATTATAATGACAATTTTGTAAAAAGATTTAATTTTTTTTATTTTTTTAAAAAAATTTTCTACTTGGGAATTTATGATTTATTTTTTTTTGTTAGACCAGATATTAAAAGTAAATGTATAAATAGTACTAGTATTCAAAAAAGTTTTTTACTTCAAATCACCGGGGGTGATCATCACCAGAATTATCAATTTTTACCGGCACTATATTTTTTTGATTGTCATAATTTCAGTCACCGGTGATCATCACCCCCAGTGATAGTTAGAAAAATTCTTCAAAAAATTCATATTTTCATTTAACTGTTATTATTTAACATAAAGAATAATAACTTATTAACTTATTGCATTCATTAGTGCTCTCACGTCATTATTTTTTTCCTTTTTTTTATTTGTTACACTAAAGTGTGCCAATTTTGATTGGCTATATTTGTGATGATCTCGAATTTATGCAATTTTGTCACGTTTTTTGATGCGTAAACTAAAAGTTTAGGGCGAAATTATGTTTCAAAATCCGAAACATTTTCGTCCAAAATACTAGCGTAAACAACAGGTAAAATTAATAAATTTGTTAATATAGAATTGTCTCTAAATATGAAATATTTATAACGCTTATATGCTTAAATTCATATTATATGTTTTTTTTTGCTTCCGTATTAAATTTAATTATCTAAAACTTTTTAGTACCAGCTTTATCATTATTTTTATATACCATATCATGCTCCATAATCCACTTTCGGTTGCCTTTATTTCAAGTATCATTCAAATAATATTTTATAACTCTATCTATTTTTATTGCATTATATTATTAACCTAAATAAATTGTCATTATTAACACATCCTTGCGACGGCCGATTTCAAATACTTACTGTATGTATATCATTATTTTTCAATTTAATACCATACAAATGCTTTCTTTTTATCTTTACTTATTCCTTGATAATTTTCCAATTTCCAATTGTTTTTAACGTTTATAGATAATTTTTCAAGTTCTATGCCACGTTATATTATAATTAATCGATACCTGTTACAATTTACTTTTTTATAAAATTATTTGCTGATTTCATATAATTTAACATTTATAATTTTATTTTTTTTTTTTGGCTGGATATGTCTTTTCATTTTTACTACAAAGTAAAAAAATCTATTTATTATCATATAAACATATTTATTCAAATAAAAAAAAATAAAAAAATTTATTTCGATTATCTGAACTTTAATCCAGGTGAAAGAGCAAAAAAAAAATAGGAAGAAAAAAAATATTATAAAAATTAAAAATCAGAATAATAGCTCACTGATCCAAGCCTAAAAGACAAAATAAATAAAAAAAGGATTAAAAAATTCTGGTTTAAAAAACTAAAAATGTTAAAATTTTCGGTTTTAAAACACTGAAAAAAATATCAAAAAAAAACTTTCGGTTCAAAAAAAAAAAAAATGAAATGAAATGAAATGAAAATATATATATAATAAAAAAGATTTTGATCTAGAAAAGTGAAAAAAAAAATCTTTTATTTAAAATCACTATACTAGTACTTTTTTAATCTTACTGCTGCGCAAAAAACCATACAAGCTATACAAAAAACCATATCATACGTGATTGTTATATATTCCCATTAATTTAAAATCCTTATACAACTATACAAAGTAATAGAAAATAATAAACTAAAGCAGTTTAAAAAATTATTCATTTTAATTATATGATTGAATATTTTAAAATATTGCAAAATAAAATAATCTGTACTAAGAAAATTTGCACAAATATTAAAGTGTCAATTTCAAATATTTAATATTTATTATTTAATAATAAAAGTTTTTAAACAATTATAATGAGATTACGTCTAAAAGCAAAGTAAAAGGTTTGTATGAACTTATTATTTTAATAGACGGTAAATTTGAACCTTTTAATCATAAAAAAATACAGTTTACAAGACTTACCATTTCAATCAGAGTAGCTTTCAGATGTGCTCATGTTAATTCTGAAAAATTATATGAGGTAATTATCTCTTGTGGATAATAAAAACTTCTTAAAATTTCAGTTATTTCAAAATTACATAATTAAACCAACTTACTGTTCAAAATTCTATAACCTATATAAAAACAAGTTAGTATACACATCTGTTATAAAGATTAAAAAAATAAAGTTCTTTAGAAGAAGCTGCATATTATTTCCTTTGAGATTCTAATATCATTTATATCATTTAAAATTTTCTAATTTAAAGTCCATGTAAAATAATCCCTTCATAATATTATTTTTAATTAAAACAAATAATTATAAAAATATGTACAAATTTAATTATCCATTTTTTATCGTCTTAAAAAGACTCACAATAATATGTGCTAGAGGTTGGAATTGAGTGTACCAATCCAAACATATTATCATCAGTTAGGCGAGATTCATCTATTATTATATCAATAAATCAATTTCTATTTTAAAAAATATACATTTATTATAATACATTTGTTATTTCCTCCACATGACGCTTCTTAGTTGCAGGTTCTCTACTAACCGATGCCCTATCCATTAACAAACCCACAATAACCTCCAAAATCCTCTTTACATTCTTGCGCAACTCGGTTGAGTCCTTAAGAGTATTTTCCATCAATGGAATTCGATATTCAGTCCTGCTCGTACTATAGATGCCTTCAGTGCTATGAAGAGTGAAGTACCAGTCAGTCCCAGTACTGACTATACCATAGACATATTCGTAATCGGAATCGAACGCATCACTTGCCTTTCGCTTTTTCTTGTTCATTTTTATGTTCATCTGGGGTGGCGAAGCAAGTTAGCAATACCCATGATCAACCTTAAGGAGTAGAACAAATTGTTATACTTACATCACACGCACTTTGACACTGCAGTAAATTTTGGCAAACACCCAAAGTCACCTGAAATGGTTTGCCCTCGGTTATGCAAATTATCTCCTCCAAAATTCCACTGATAATTTTTTTGATTGCATAATCAACACGGCCTGTGTTCTCTTCACCGATTATATTTGACTGAGGTGTGATCATCAAATCCTCGAGAAGACTTACTGCCGTGTGCAAGATTGTAGAAATATACTCACAACGTATAGCCTCATTACTATCTATAACTGGTCCCATATTTCTTATCCTGCGAAGAATATCGTTAATGCAAAGCTCAAATTGTGGGGCATTTTCGTCGATTGGTTGGGTAGCTGTAATCCTTTATAAGTGAGTTCAAAATATTTCAATAAAGAACATGACATGTGATTACTTACGTGGTATGAACTGTGGAATGCGAGCTATATCACCGCTAACGATCCCATATTTCTCAAGCACCTCACTCAAGTCTTTATGGGTCTTGTACGAGGAGAACGAGCGCAACTTTCTCTCCTTACATTCCTTGGAAAAGTAGGCAAGTCTAGCCGCCGGACCACCAGACATACCCCATTTTTCAAGCATTCTTTGAGTTATCCCTAAAAAGTCACAGCCATTAATCCTTTGCTTGCGAACAATTTCTAAGTCCTCCTCCTCAAGTTCCAAGTCGTCCTCCTTCTGCTGCAAGAAGTCGATGAGCGCCTTCGTTTTATATTTTTTAATTTCGTCCACCGTCGGCTCTTTAATGCAAGTTTTGTTTTTAATAATGCTCTTGCTTTCAGTTTTGTTTTTTTCAGTTTTGTTTTTCATAATGCTCTTGCTTTCAAAATGCAAAAGTCCAAGCGCCTATATATATCGGAACAACCAACATGAACCACCATGAGATGTATATGACCACTATTAAATGGTTATTTCCATTTTTTTTATCCTCGCTTTTAGTTATTACAACTATTTAAACTTATGCGTCGTAATATTACGACTCATGAATAATTATTACGAAGTCACATTTCTATTTGACACCGTACGTATTAATTCATTTTGAATAAAGAGTCGTCATGCGGTCATGATTAATCGATCAAATAATGGCTATACAAAAAAATTGGCAAAAAAGATTTTTATTAGTACAATACAACATAAATATCGTATCTGTATTTTATGTGTCATTATTATAGGACAATCTAATGACTCTAAATGATATGCAACTGATATAAATCGTAGTTTTGGCCGGAGTTACGGCATTAACAGTACCAATATTATTTAGCATTATGATTTGGACTGACATCTTAATGCGAAAAAAATCAAGCATTTTATGTCAGTCAGACTCATTATTGGTATAAAAAAATTAAAAAAATGAAACACGAGAATAAAATTATCATTTTAGATATACATTGTATCATTTATTAGTTGATATGCATCATTAATTGGTTACCAAATTATCTCATCTCATGATTCGTTCTATCACATGACTCTCAATGAATTTTCTATTAGATTAACTTCGCTGTGTAATATACAATTTAAATGACATAATATTTCATAAAATTATATGAATGTTATTATTTGTAGAAGTTACTTAACATTACATCTATAACAATATGATCATAGTGGGTTGACTTCACGTGATTTATGGCGCAGTTACTATGATACTGTGTCGTCATGTATAACAAGGCTACCCATACTTTGAACATTTGTTATGCTGAAAATATTTAAAATATACCAGCACAAAAAAAAAATTATGATCTATGACTCATCTAATAGATATTTTTATTTTCGTATCTGAAATATCTGAAAATTGCTAAATCTCGCCGCACCAACATTAGCAAATATTATTGGGCAAAATTTCATGGCATTTTTAATCTGCCCAAAATTCTATCTTAATTCTGGTAAGGTGACAATCACCAGCGGTGATACTTAACAACACTCGAATTTTTAAATCATTTATAAATTTAAAAAATTGCTGACAAAAAATAAGGATAACCAATTTATTAGTAGGACTTTAAAAAAAGCATATGTTTTCTTTTTAGAATTGTTTTTAAAATATAATGGCAAGTTGGGTCAATTGGTAACTTTCATGTCGATAAAATGACATTTCGGTAAAATGGAATTTTTTCAAATCGATAAAAATAGCTAGAAGTCGGCAAAATAGTGTTGGTTAATTTCATGTCGGTGAAATGACATCCTCAAATAGCTGATGTTAAGAACAATTCAAATGCTTTTATTATTTTTATCCGTTCTTACACGCCATTTCATAACAATGTCTCAATTATTTCGTATTATTATTACATATACGTTATTTGCCGATTTAAAATACCATTTAAATGTTCTGTTCTTCTTTACTTATTCCTTTACGGCTTTACCCGTTCCATAATTTTATGAATCGATAATTTTCCAATTCCCAATTATATTTAAATTAGTTTTTCCAAGACCGCTGCCACGTATAATTATAATTGATACCTATTACAATTTACTTTTTTATATTATTATATTAAAATAATAGATTTAGAAAATATATTCAAATATCAAAATCAATATTTTAAAACTAATTTGGTAAGATTGATACATCTAGTATCATGGTAAAGATTATACTAGTATATTCTATCTATCGAAAGGACAAAAATTCTTCAAATTTTTTTTATTAGTTTCCTATATAAAAAAATTTCAAGTGATATTTTTACAATATTTTTGGCGTAAGGTAAATACCAAAATCTTCAGCGTACAAACTTAAATATAATTAATATAATTCATATATGTTAAAAATTGGAAATAAATATGTTGAGCGTATTTATTAAATCAATAACACAATATTTACAATTTTGACATATTACAATTTTATTTTTTAGTGCTTTCAAAAAAATTTTTCAGCAAAATCGTTCTATGGATTGAAATCGATTCTACAAAATTGAATTAATCGAAAATCGAATCGAATAATTATATAAAAATAAGCTTTTTAATTATGGCGCAGCAATTCATTTTATAGTCAAATTTGCTAAGATTGATCATGACTAAAATTACGAATCTGGCCCAGAGTCTTCAGTTTAGAAAAGATATAACCCGAATTACAAAATTCTGACACGAAATTACGTTGGACTAAAAATAAAAAAGGGAAATCTATTTTTTTTTTTTTTGTGGACGGCTATGAAAAACAATTTAGCATCGATTTACCGATCTAAACCTTTCCACTTTTAAACAAGCAATTTTAGTGGCTCAATTATTAGCTTTCGTTACAAGCCACTAATTCCGTTACTTCCGTACCAAGCCGCCTATTCGGAATAACCTCTACATTTCTGTTCCGAATTTCCTAGAGAATAAACTAATAAAAAAATATTATAGTGATTAGTAATCTATAATCAAGCAAAAAAAAAGGAAGTAAAAAAATTCTTACTAAAAATTACTGTGCTACCTATACCACGAGCTGATTTACTGTACGATTAAAAAAGATAATTATTGGTCATATTTGGCTAAACTAAATATCTTTATCAATCTAATAATTGTTAGATTGTTAGTTACATAAAATTTTTACCGGTAATTTAAAACATCAACAAATTTTTTTTTCTTTGTAAGGAACTAACATCTGGTGAAGAGTCTCCCTTTTTTTCAAATGATCGACATAGCCAACATCAATTATTGATTTGAATTGTATTGTATCAGAAAGCCACATCTGTGGCAAAGTAATAAGTACAAAAAAACTTTAAAAAAATATAAACTTACAAAAAATATATATTCAGCATACTGAACTTTTAACATTTTCCTTTTGATAACAGTACAATTATTTCATATTTAGCAAAAAAAAAAAAAAATTTTTTTTTTAATAAAAATATACATATTTGAAAAAAATTGTAATAAATTATCCTCAGTATATTTAATTTTTTAATAAGCTCTGTAAAAAAAAATCAAGTTTAAATTTTTTATTTTTTTTTTCAAATAAACATATCTGAATTTTATGTAAACAAAAAGTAAAAGGAACGGTTGTTAAGTCCGGAGCATAAATGAACCGATCACTCATCGACTTAATTTTTTGGGCGGGCGGACTGACTTATATTTTTGTGAAACCTTTTGTGAAACCATTGCGCAGAAAAATAAATAGTCCTTCGTAAACACTTCAACAAAAAACCGCAAAAGAACTATTGTTACTGTGTATAAACAAAAAATAGTGGCTTAGTTGTACAAATGTGGCTTCCTGCTGATGGATTACATATTGTATTCGGCTTAGATCCGATCAACTGAATCTCACTAGATTGTGTACAAACATTAAACGCCTGTTCAACAAACATTGACGCCATAAACCTTGATTATTTTCAATCGGAGGTAATCCAGATACATAAAGTTAAAGTTCTTTTTTTGAAAGAAAAAATGTACCGAATCATGTTTAAAGTTATTGATAATAATTTCCTTTTATGTATGTTTTATACTATTGATATTAATTTCCTTTTCGGTATGTTTAAGTAATTTCCTTTTTCTGTATTTATTCTCTAAACTTCAAATCCAATGACCCGTTATATTAGTAATAGAGTTGAAGGTAGTAAAATGTTAACATACCTAATACATACAGTAAAATGGCTTTCTAATAAAATTTATTATTTATAACAAACAAATAGGGTAGAAGAAAATTCTAAAACTAAATGTTTTTTTTTATTATTTATATATAATATATATGAGAATGATGAAAATTATTATATTAGTTACAAAATTAATCATAATTGTTATCATAACAATTATAACGTTTACAATCGCTCAACCAACAGATATACGTTGTTGTCATGGTTCAGCAATAGCAGATAATAAACTTTATATTGGAGGTGGTCTCACAGGTGCTGGTGAAGATATTTTTACTGATGATTTCTTTTCTTTAGATTTAACCGTTTCGTTTTCTACGTTATCACCAACTGATATGCCTTATAAAGAGAATCCAAATGTTCTCGTAAAGTGTAATGGACATACACTTGTATATGCAGTAACTAAAAATGGCGGAATGATTTTTCTTTTTGGAGGCTTTAGAAGTGAACCAAAAGGCAGTGCCATTTATGGATACTCCTTAGAGTTAAATGCTTGGAGTGAAGTAATACCAACAAATGGCGTTAATATGCCGGTTGAATCTACAACCAAAATTGTTGGAGTTACGGATAGTAGTTTAAACAATATTTATGTATTTGACAATGCCACGATGTACGTTTATGACGCACTTCAAAAATCTTTGTATATCGCTCCCGATTTGGCGCCTTACCAAATTTATTATTATGCCACTGTTATGCTGAGTACTGATGAAATTGCGTATATTGGTGGTGGTAAAAGAGATAATAATGATAATCAGAACAACATTCCTATGGATCAGGTAAAATATTCAATATAATGATATCAAGTATTTTTTTATATATATTACATATAAACGTATAATTATTTTTTAGATTCTATTATATAATACAAAAATATCAACATGGTCTACAAAGGTAGGTTATTTATTTGTGAAGTTTTAATAATCCATAATTTTACTAATATCAGCTTTTCATTTTAGACTGCTAAAGTTTCTGATGGTGTGGTTCCATCACCGCGAAAGGGGCATTCAGCGTCCATAGGTAACATCTCCTTTACTTGTCTTGTTTTATCTTGTTTAATATTCTAACTTAAATTATTCATATAAAAGCACCAGATGGTCGAATTTTTATATATGGTGGCTTTGATGGTGATGAAAATGCAATTGAGTCCACTGGAAGTTATCCCGTATTTGCAGTTCTTGAGTATAATAATGGCGAATTTGCGTGGTCTAGTCCTCAACTCTTTGGTCAATTATACCAATTTAGGATCTATCATAGCTCACATATATTTGGAAATAATTTGATTATTTCGTTTGGTACGTGTGTGTTTCTAGTTATTATCTATTATTTATATATAATTTAATACTTAATTATATTATTTACAATAATTAGGACGAAATTTAACACATAATAGGTTAAATACAATTGATATTATAGATATAAGTAATAGAGATAATTATAAAGTTATCACAGACTTTGTACCACCAGGTTATGTATCATCGACACCATCACCATCACCATCATCATCATCATCATCTAAAAACAGCATAATAATAGCATCAGTAGTTGTTTCCGTTGGATCTTTGATTATTATTGGATGTACTTACTATTTTATACGACGTTATCGATATCGAAACGTTATTCCTACACCTTCTAGTGGTGAAAGAATTTAATAGAGATAGTACTTTATAATGCTGACAGAATTAATTATATAATTTGATTTTTCATTCTAACAAACGTTTATTTAGGGAATTTAAAAATCATGATCGATTAATTAATTGATCCCGCATAGCTAAGATTGACCAAAAATCGATTAAATCAATTAATTTAATCAATTTTTAATCAAAGATGCCTTTTCGAATATATTATTCGAATAATAAATTAATCGATTAATAAGCGATTTTTATTGATTTTTATTATATATTAAAAATTAATTATAAAAGAAATTTTATTATTTTAATATTATTACAGAATACAAAATGTAAATAGAAGAAACAATGAATAAAATAATTTTGGTATTTATATAGAATCAATAAATTATGATGATTTGATCGATCAGATCAATCATGGTAACTTGATCGATCAAATTATCAGTCAAAAATTTATTTGTAGCAAACATTTTTAATCGATTAACTGATTAGATCGATAATACTTGATTCGATTATTAAGAATTCATTAAATAATTTTATTTGAATAAATTTTACATAAGATATCACATTGGCGCTTCATACAAAAGCTTATTATTTTCGTTAAGATTTTTGGGTAGTAATGTATTTATTTATTCAACGATATAAAAATAAAATACTTTCAGAAATATACGAATATTTAAACAATCGTTTGCTTCTATAGAAATTCTCTTATAATCAATCATATTTAAGAAGCGTTAATAGCGTTTAAATAATTTTATTAAGTTGAATCATCAATAACAAAGTAAATAGACGGATTTTTAATTAATTAAATTTAAAGTTCATCCATTTCATTGTCTTATAAATCTCCGTCAATACAGTAGTTCAAGAATGTTTCTATAAGTTGTCATAGTATTATTCTAGCACTAATTTTAGAAAAGTAACTAGTGACTATGATGCTAAAGCTTAATATTAAGTAATTTTAAGCTTATATTGTATAATTTATAGAAAGAAGCTTTCGCACTTGTACCATAAATGCGTAAAAAATCTATTTATCAAACTTCAATTAATTATATGTATTTAATTTTCATGTACACTGTAACTTTTTTGTTATTAGAACGAAGCATTCAAAGTATACAAGTTAAATACCTACATCAAATCACCCTTACTAGTACTTATTTTTACAAGTTATTAAATTTATTTAATAGGTTATAAAGATCCTTATTATGAATCTCAAAAAGATTTGGTAAGTCTTGTAACAATTATTATTTGACACTTTTCTTTACAATTGGGGAACAAATTAAATTATAAACTAAAATATACCTGTATATGTGATGAACAACATAGCCGTGTGTAAACGACATCTCCCCGTCACTTTTGTGTGACGTGATCGGCTTTGTTTATTGTTTACCTCTCTCTTCCTCTTTTCTTTTTCTTTTTTTCACATTAAATAATGTTTTAAAAATTCATTAAATAATTAAAATAAAAAATTTTTGAAAAGCTTAAGCATATAATGCTTTTATGGAGCTGTAAATGATTTTTATTGTGCTTTTTTTTTTACTTTCTTTTTAGAATTTATATTATTAATTTTAAAATGACAGTCTTAAGTGAACTAAGTAGAGTGTTATTTAACGGGTATGGAAACATTAATTGATTGATATTGCTTAAATATTTGTGAGAAAGTATCTATATTTTTTTAAAATAAAGTTGATTGTTTTACATTTGTTTTTAATTTTATAGCATAATTTGACTTTAGTTAAATGAAGAGCTTAAATAAAGCTGACTTAAATATTAATTTTTATCAAAATATCTTGAATATTTGCAAAATAGAGAAGGACTTTTAATTTACGATAAGCAAGACAAAACTTTTTATATTTTTGATAAAAAAACTAATGAAAAATTTGATACTTTTGCTTCTTGGATCAAATTTCTCAAAATTAAAAAAATATTTAGTGGTGAACGTTTAGCACTTGCTACAATTTTTTTTGAACCAAACTCTTCTGGTTCTAATTTAGCTTCATTATTAAGAACAAGGCAAACTCCATATTGGAAAAATAATAAATCTGCAAATATAGCAGAAGTTACATTATTGATAAAATCATTTAAAACATCGAAACAAGAGTTTTGATAAGAGAAAATGTTGATGGAATTAGTGTTATATTTTTTGGAAGAGAACAAGAAAATAAAAAAGTATTTAATTATTAAGTGGCAAGAAAACTTAATCTCTTACGAACTAAATATATTAGAAAAACGTGTAAAAAAAATAAATGAAATAGAAATGGGAATTGCAACTGAACGAACCCTTTCAGAAATAGAAAAAACAATTTGTTACATATCTGTAGCAAAAGTATGCATGGGTCAAAAGACTGAAGGTAGTGATTAATTACTTTTTCATTTTTAATTAATTATGATTTAAAGTTTTTTTTATAGTTAGGATTTGAAAAAGTAGTTCAGTTTCGAGGAACTCATCTTGTGAGAAATCAAAAAAATTCCAATAATGTTCATGAACCCTTTGCAATTCTAGAGAATCGAAGTCAACCTCATGAAGCCTATAGAAGATTGGACTGTTATTTGTTAGTAGCTGAAATAAATATATGTGAAAAGTGTAAAAAATTGAAAGATACGTTAATAAAAATCAAAAATCGAAATCTTATGAATGATTTACCAGTTAAAGTTGCGCATGCTTCCCAGGAAATTTTATCTAAAAAAGTTCAATTTCAAAGAAAGGTATTTATTTATAGAATAGATATTAAATAAAAAATGTATATAAGCAATTAACGTTAATGCAACTTTTAAAGAAAATTGCAAATCAGAATCAAACTATACATACCTTGAAAAATCGAATTAAACAAAAAGTGGAAGAAGAAGGAGAAAAAGTATTGGAAGAGCTGTATCAAATTGCTCAAGATATATCTAGAAAGGTTGTTAAAAATAAAATTGATCTTTCTTCTCTTAATCCAATTTTCCAGGAATTAATTAGAGTTCAAAGTGGAAAAGCAAATGGAATAAGATATCACATAATGTAAGTATATCTACTAATAAAAAAGTTGGTTAAATAAAATAAAATTTATTAATGATTCACTATAATTCTTTAGGTTTATGCGATGGGCTATTTCTGTATATAGCCGTGCAGGTCATGCTGCTTACGAAGCAATGAAAAGCATTATGTGATTACCTTCAATATCTTTAATAAAAACCTATATAAATGAAAGTCAACAACATTTAGGATGGCAAGATAAAACTGCTTGTCATATTCTGGAAAAAATATCTATAGAAAATATTGGAGATTATGGCCGAATTGGATTTTTCTCACATGATTCATTTAAAATACAAAAAGGTTCGTTATTTACCCTAATAAATACTTATTAAAAAATCGTTTTAAAGAATTAATTAGAATTGATATTAATAATAGGCTTACTTTGGAGCCAGCGAGATAATTGTTATGTTGGATATTTGGATTTTGAAAATGAAAAAGAAGAATTACAATCATTTGCAATGCAATGTGAAAAGGAATTGCAAACAGTCAATAATAGTAGTTTACCTACTAATTTAAAGGATTATGATCGGAATCTAGCAACACAAGTACATCAAATTGTTTGGCATTCAGCTACTTGTAACTTTGCATATCCTATAGCATATTATGGAATTAATACTCTTACTGCACATAAAATTAATAAAATTCTTTTTCATCTCGCGACTAATCTTGAATGTATTTGTATACATACTTATGGATCTGTTTGTAATGGAGCTGGAGAAAATAGGAATCATATCAAAAGTTTTGACTGGTGGGCTTCATTCTGGTCTGTAGGAGATATTGTTGAAGTTAATATTGGTAAAAACAATTATGAACAAGCAAGAATCATATCATCAACTAACCTTGATCATAGTAAATTCACAGTGTGTTTATTGGACCCATCCTTTTCTAATGAATTTCAAGTTAATTGTAACTCATTGAGACAACCAATGCCCACTAAACAAAATTGGAATATTAATGATTTCTGTGAATTTAAAAGTCCAAAGGATAATAAATGGCATACAGCTATTATCACGAATATTGGTTCTGAAACACAAACTTTTATTGTTACAATTTTGTCTAATAATGAAAAATGGAACATGGTAAATAAATCTCAAAATATATACATTAGGCCTCTTTATGATACCCAAACACATTGGACAAATTATAAAATAATCAACCCAATTACCAGTACACCATGGTTTTTCATTAGTGATCCTATGCATGTTTTTAAAAAACTTCAAACAATCTTTCAAAAAGTCATATTAGAGAAAACTGAAATCAAAGTATTAGAGAAATTATGATAGATGGAAATGAAGTTAGTTGGCATCATATTCAAGGTGTTTATGATTATACTGTACAAAATTCAACAGCAAAATTACAAGACTCACAAAGCGTCATATTTGGCTTACATCTTGGAGCAAAATGAGAGTTGATCTCACTGAACAGACTTTATCAAAGGATATTATAGTTGCAATGAGAACAATTGATAAACTGAAAGAAATATCAGCTAAAACAAGAGTAAGTAAAAATATTTAATATTAAAGTATCAGTTATAAAATTTAATGTATAATAATGTTATAAATGTTTATTAGGAATTTATCAATTATGCATAGTACCTTTACCGGCAAATGTTTCATAGCAAAAAACCATTGGAAGGTCTTAATGATTCTCATATTCAAACTCTAAAAGAAATACGTGATTGGTTTTGTGATTATAGATAAGCAAAAAGCTAGCAAAATAAACTGGATCTCCCCACAATGTCAATTTGACGTACTCTTATCTATTCAAGGTTTTTTGGGAATGGTTGAGGAGATTTTTGTATTGTATCCAAATTCAACAATTGAACCACGCAGGATATCACAGGATATGTTAGAAGGACTATTTGGCATGATTCGACAGCTTGGAGGAGATTCCTCCACGCAAACATTAAAAGGATATGGACATGCATTAAACAAATTTCAGGTTACCGCAAAGATAACTACTGAAATTTAAAGCCTTAACTATGGAAAATCAAATCATGCCGGAATGGAACTTAATTGTCTTACTTGATAGTAGGTATTTTTATAAATTAAATCTGTTTAAATCATTCTTTTTTATATTTAAATAAATAAAATTATTAATAATTGTTTTGAAAAGTGATTACAGAAAAAAAACGTCAAAGATATCAAAGGATAAAAATATACACCCTACTTTATCTAGTCATCTTATCCGATTATCCAGCATATCTCCCTTTACACGGCAAATCTTTGAAAATCTTCTTATGAATGATCTGTTTATGGGAAAAATTGAAACTCCGCCATCATCTTTCAGTAATGAAGTTAACCAACAAAATCAAACAATTTTATTACTTCAAAAAGAACGTCAACAGCTCTTTGATTTATGCCTTTACGATGATAGAATTATTTCTCTATTGGAAAAATGGAAAAATAACATTAAAGATATTGCTTTGAAATCAATTCCCAATAAAAAAGGAAGTCTTTGGATGACTGTGTGGGTTTCTCACTTGGAGATTAGCCTGAATAATTACCTATGTTCTGGCATTTGGTTCTCAGAATTTCAAGAAATTATTTCCCAAAATCATTCTGCTACACGAAGACTAGTTGCCTACTTCCTGATTCACGAAGTGATAGAAGTTACATTTAAGGAAAATTTTCGTAAAAATAAAAACATACAAGAACATGCAGACCCTACCTTGATTCCTAAAGTTATTACTTTGAACCAGGCAGAATCACTAAAATTTTCTTATATTATTGGTTGGGTACTCTTCAAATTGCTCAAAAGAGATCACGTAATGAATTCCCATCCAAAATTTCAAGTTATGAATACTTTACTTAAAGCTCACTGCGAAGAAAAGGTTGAATATATGCCAGAAACAAAATCACAGACCACTAACATTATACCTAGACCCAAATTTACTCAGTTCATGTATTATTTGGAATCTTTAATAATTGAACTGTTCGAGAAACATAATGAATTAGGACCAAATATCCTGTGTTATGTGAAAAATAGTCTTCTTGTTAACTTATCTCTAAATCAAATGTTTATTACAACATTGAAATCAAATAATATTACTGGTGTTGAATTAGAAGATGAAGAATTTGGGTTTATTTATGAGAGATGCGTCACTATCTATATGAAAAGTAGACAAAAAACATGGAGAGACGTTAATAATTACATTCCGGAAAAAGGTACAGCAAGTTTAAGAGAAAGCCTGAAAACGATGCGCTCAAACAACCTAACAACAGAAAATAAAAAGCCCCTTATGAAGAAGGCAAATTTACCTACCGATCCTGCTCATGCTTTAGAACAACTTCGAGTATGGGCACAACTTGAAGGAGCAGAAGACTCATTTTCTAAATTTTTTTTAGTTTCGGAATTATTGTGGATAATTTGGGCATTTGGAATTTCAACGCCATATAAAAGAAAACAAAAATTGGTGCCTATAATTATTTATAACTTAAAAAATTCCACACCATTTACTGAAGAAGCTCTTAAAAGAAGGGTTATTTTTATGGAATAATGAAAACATAAATAATAAATATAAATAAATTTTAAATAAAGTGGAGTTTATTGTCAAAGTTACTAAGATTATACATGAATAATATATTAAAGCTTCTTAAACTAACGAGAAAGCCAATAATGCACAAATAACTGTAAAATTTTGGCAGTAAATAGTCTTCAACTATACTAATCTACTTTTGAACATCGGCTTTTAAAAACGTTGTATGTTAAAAGTTTTAGGCTCGACATTTTTTTTTTTCGATAGGTATAATTTCAGGGGGGGACAGTACAAAATTGTGATACAAGGTAACACAACAAACAAGTTGGCCCCTCTACCCCTTGGTAATATAAAATGCCAAGAAATGTAGATCAAATATTAGTAGCACCTGTTAAATTATCTTTACTTTCATGAAATCGGGATATTCTTCCTAACTTAGAATTAAGTTTCATCAATGTCTTACAACTTTACATTTTTTATGCTGTTATGGCATTGTTCATATTTTTTGGTAGTAAAAATGCATGCAATCGGCAAATGGCCAAATAAACACAAAATTATTATTTATAACAAACAAACATTATGGAAGAGAATTTTTGTTTTTCATTATTTTATATTTGTAATTAACGAGTCATGAAAATTACTACACTAGTTATAAAATTAACCATAATTATTAACGTAACACTTATAACGTTTACAATCGCTCAACCAACAAATATACGTTGTTGTCATGGTTCAACGATAGCAAATAATAGACTTTATATTGGAGGCGGCACTATAGGTCCCGAAGATAATGAAACTGTTTATACTGATGATTTCTTTTCTTTAGACTTAACCGTTCAATTTAATACGTCATCCCCATTTAATATGCCTTATAAAGTGCATCCAAATATTATCGTAAAGTCAGATGCAAACACGCTTGTATATGCAATAGATAATGAAGGTGGAAGTATATATTTTTTTGGCGGCTTTAGAAATCCCCAGAATTCAGAAGGCAATGGTATATACAGATACTCCCTAAAGTATGATGGTTGGGCTGAAGCAATACCAGCAAATGGCATTAAAATGCCGACTAGATCTACAACTAAAATCGTTGGCGTTACGGATCGTAACAATAATACTATTTATATATTTGACAATAGTATCATGTACATTTATAACGCAACAGAAAAATTTTTGCATATTTCTCCCAATTTGGCGCCTTATCAAATTTATTATTATGCTACTGCTATGCTAAAAACTGGTGTAATTGCGTATATTGGTGGCGGTAAAGCACCAAATAAACTGTACAATATTCCTATGAATGAGGTAAAATATTCAATATCATGATATCAAAATATTTATCATATAGTAATTTAAACGTATAATTATTTTAGATTCTTACATATGATACGTATTTATCAAAATGGGATATAAAGGTAAGCTATTTATTTGTGAAGATTTAATAATACATAATTTTATTAATATTCAGCTTTTCATTTAGTATGCCAGTGGTATTATTCCAGAACCACGACAGGGACATTCAGCATCAATAGGTAACATTTCCCTTACTTATCTTGTTTTATTTTGTTTATATGCTAACTTAAATTAACTATATAAAAGCACCAGATGGTCGAATTTTTATGTATGGAGGCTATGATGGTGATGAAAATGCAAAGGAGTCCAATGGAAGTTATCCCTCATTTGCAGTTCTTGAGTTTACTAATGACAAATTTGTATGGTCCACTCCTGATCTCATTGGTCTGCCGAGTAAATTTAGGATCTTTCACACCTCACATGTATTCGGGGATTATTTGATCATCACATTTGGTACGAGTATCTATAATCATATGCAACTTACAGTATGTAATAGTATGTTAAATTATAATTTTGTCTGCTACCTATAATAATTAGGACGAAATAAAACGCAACATAGGGTGAATACAATCGATCTGATAGATATAAGTAATAAATCTGCTTATAAATTTGTCACAAACTTTATACCACCGGGTGCACCACCACCATCACCGCCACCATCACCGCCACCATCTCCATCTCCATCTCCTAGTATAAACATCATAATAGCATCAGTACTTGGTTCCGTTGGAGGTTTGATTGTTATTGGATTTACTTTCTTTTTGATAAGACGTTGTCGATATCGAAATGTTATTCCTACACCTAGTGGTTAAAGAATTTAATAGTACTTTAAATGTTGTTAGTATTAGTGATGAAATTAGATTTTTCACTCTAACAAAATAATTTTAATCCATATTAGTTTGTTTATTTAGGGAATTTAAAAATCATAATCGTTAAAATTTCTTTATTAATTAATTTTATAAAAAAATTTGTAACGTTTAGATTACCTGTATAAATAAATTCTAAACTGTGTACCTTAATACTTCCATCGGCCAGTTTACTACGTGACGTTTAACAAATTCAAAAAAAGCGCGGATTCTTTATCCGGGACAAAAATCCGGATAGAAACCGAAATCTGACTATTCTTATCGTATCATAGCCGATAAAAAATTTTTTGCTCGGCTAAACTATTTTCTGGTGTCACGTGATATTAATTTCGGCCAGAATTACAAAATTATCCAAGACCGCGAAATTTTCATAATTCCAATTTTATTCAATACTTTTTTTAAACAACTTCGTATTATTTCAGAATTGTCTCAGACTATTGTTTAACATTTCTTTGTAAATTAGCTAATTATGAAATTTTGATATAGCTAAAGATTACTATAGATAAATGTGTTGGGTTAGTAAGGCAATTTTTAAAATGTTAAAAAGGATTTGTTTTTTCTTTCAAAAATTAAAGAATCATTTGAATCAAATTACATAACACTAGTTTTAATTTTTAAAAAAAGTTGTTATAATTATATAAATTTTATAGGTATACCTCTACGTGTTTAGTTGTATACTTAGATTTTTTGTATGATTTGTTGCCACCGAGTCTTTTGGATTTACCGGCCTTTTATCTACAAAATTAATAAAAATCGTCCTTGTGACGTCATTAGCTCCACAAAAAAAAAAAAAAAAAAAAAATATTATATAAATTTTATAATATCTCAATTTTTTGTAATTGATCTGAATAATTTTTCATTTAAAAATAATAATTATTGTAAAAAAATAATATAAATTTTTTTTCTTTTGAACGTTTGAATGCGAAAAAATGATTCTTTATTACATTTTAAACTTCAGTTGATCAACATGTGATGCAAGTGTTTTCGGTGTTTTCATTTTAAAATGTCTGTCTATGGTCGCACTTTAATTAATAAATAATTTGTAAATCGTATTATATAAAGTTACGGTACTATGCAAAAAAAATAAATAAATAAAGATTCATCCGGATTCCGGTTTAAACCGGATATTTTTCATCCGGATTATAATCCGGATGAAAACCGTGAAAATCCGGATATCCGAAAAAAAAAAAAAAAAATATCCGAATCGATCCGGATACGGGTCGAAGCATAACATATAATTCATATTAAATTTGAAGTTTATTGTATACAAAAGTTAATTAAACAAAGGTTTAACAAATTATCATTTAAACTTTATTACATCTTTTAACAATTGTAACAACTATTAGCACAAAACTAAACAATTTTGATATTGGTTGCAGTTAAGTAGACTAAAAAGCCTTCGCACTTGTAAAATATAATTAGTGATGGATTCCCATGAAATTTGCAGGAATTTATCGGGATCTGTGCTAATTTTACATTAGTAATACTGTACAAATCTCATAAAATTCCGCGTAACGGTTAATTAACCCCATCCCTGAATATAATGCGTAAAAAGTCTATTTATCAAACGAAAAATATTTTATTAAACAAAGGTTTCCATTTCAATTAAATAATTATATATTTATATGTACAATATTTAATTTAATGTACGTTGTAACTTTTTTTGTTATTGGAACGAAACATTTAAAGTTATTATTTTATTTATTATCGCTATCAATACCAATCCGCTCATACAGCATTAGGATGTTACACAACTAATTATGTCAGCAATATTGATTATTTTATTATGACCGGATCTATGTTACACAGATGTTCAATTTTTTTAATTTGTTTTTCCGAATTTTTTTAATGCACAATTTAAAAATTATTAAATAAATTTTCAAACTGTTTACTTTTATTTATTTTTAGCAAATTTTAAATTCTTTAATGCAATTTTAAATTATTTAATGCAATTCACGGTAAAAAAAAGTAGATACGTCTTTTATATTCCATTTTTTTTCCGTAAAAGGCTCTTAAGGTAATTTTTTAAACGAGAAAAACATGGCATAAAAATATACATAAGTATATATATAGTAATTCTCTATTACAAAAATATTTGAAATATTTGAAAGGGGCCGTACACGCGGCGTGACATTGCGTGCAGCTGTAATCAATCAGTCAGGAGATACTTCGGGATTAACGTAAATGTTGATCCTTGTTTATCATGTTTTTTCCGTGAATGTATTTTCACATATTTCCTGAATTGATAATCTTATATCACGGAATTTATTTCCGTGAATGGTCCTGTGAAAGGCTCATTTCTACGGAGTTTTTACAGAAATACAGAAATAACGGATAAAAGTTTTTATAGGGATTTTAAATTCTTTAATGTAATTTTAAATTCTTTAATTTTAAATTCTTTAATGTAATTTAAAAATTTTTAATTAAATTATTTTCCAATTAAGTTTCAAACAACATGTTTGCTTCGTAGTTCGACGCTTTTTGGCTCTAAGTTCTTTATTTTAAGGCTAGTCAGGAGAATTTTTTGGCTCTAAGTTCTATTAAATCTGAAGAATTTTATAATTAAAATTCTACCCCGCGTGACCAGTGACATTCAAAGAGACGTGAAAAAAATAATTTTGGAAGGAGATAAATATAAACAATGAAAACGCGGTGGGGTGTGATGTTTCTTCACGTAAATTGTGTTTTTCTTTTGGAGATCTTCAGCATTCTGTCCAACATAAACAAAAAAATGTTTCACCACGTTATTGAAATCCGCAGCAAATCTATAAATAGTTTAAGAACAAAGAATATTTCTATTTATCATATAAATTCTCGATATTTGAATGTAAATTCCTTCTGTCGAACCATTCTAAAAGCTTTGTAAAAAAAAATACACGTAAATATTTGAGGATAGTTTTTAAGAACAGTTTCGAAGAAACTTTTAGAATCTTGTATTATATTTATTATTTAAAATTTATTAATAGAATATTTAATTAAACTTTATAGTTTTACATCAAATGTCGGTAACATAGTTTAATTAATTGATCTGTGTGACACCCTAATATGGCATGTAAATAATGAGTTCATTTGTTAATAATACTTAAAATGTATCTGTCTTTGTCTCTTACTCTACATAGCGTAACAGCAGATAAGATATCTTGAAATGTTAAATATTAATATAATGTATATTTAGTAAAATGCTGTACATCATTTATTATCTTTCTATAAATGATTGTAACGTATTGATAAGACTAATACATTTTGTGTCATAATAAAGATTAGATAAGATACAAAAATTAATTTTATTATACAAAGTATTGTATAAAAATTCCAAGAATATTTTTTCAACACTTTTATGTAGAATAATATAATCTTTAATTTTTCAATGTACAAACCTAAAATAGTAATTTTGAAATTTTATAATCAATCAATCATAATCGTATAACAAAAATGGTTCTAGTAATTGGAATCGATTCTACCAAAATTGAATTAATCGAAAATCGAATATAAAGTCAATCTCAATGAACTTTCTTTGTTAAAGTCATGATGCAGGTCGGAATTGCGTTACACTAGGGGATCCATTTTAAATAATGTAGTGGAACGGCTATCGCACATAGCCGGTGTGTAATGTCACAGTCGTCACATGATTGTTAATTCATGAACAATAATAGTTAATAAGCATACAATATTAAGTAACAAACATTAAGCGCTTTTATATATTATATATACTGTATAATGAAGATTTATTTGGCATATATCATATTTTTTTATTATTAGGAGGTAATTAAAATGTTTATCAAATGCAATACAATCGGTAAGTGACCAATAAGCAATTTATGATGAAATTATTGTTTATAACAGGTGAAACATAATGATAAGAAAATTCTAAAATTAACTCTTTATTTTTTTATTATTTAATACTTGTAATTTAACTAGAGGTATGAAAATTGTCTACATCAGTTATTAAATTATTTCTCATTATTTAATACTTTGCAATTAATAAGAGTTATGAAAATTATTACATTCATTATAAAATTAATAATTGTTAACGTAACAATTATAACGTTTACAATCGCTCGACCAACAAATCTACGTTGTTGTCATGGTTCAACGATAGCAAATAATAAACTTTATATTGGAGGTGGCCTCACAGGTCCTTCTACCATTGCTCTTCCTTCTGATGATTTCTTTTCATTAGATTTAACTATTCCGTTTTCTACGCCATCACCACTTGATGTGCCTTATGAAGTGCATACAAAGGTTCCTATAAAGTCCAATTCACACACGCTTGTATTTGCAATGGATAATGAAGGCGGAAGTATATATTTTTTTGGCGGCTTTAGAGTTTCAGGAGGCAATAGTATATACAGATACTCTATAAAGTTAGATGGTTGGACTGAAGTAACACCAGTAAATGGCGTTATAATGCCGTCTGAATCTACAACTAGAGTTATTGGAGTTAAGGATAGTAGTAATAATAATATTTATATATTTGATAATAGCACCATGTACATTTATGACGCATTAAAAAAATCTCTGCATATTTCTCTCGATTCGGCGCCTTACAAAATTTATTATTATGCTACCGTTATGCTAAATACTGGTGTAATTGCGTATATTGGTGGCAGTAAAGCACCAAATGGTAATATGTCCAATATTCCTATGAATGAGGTAAAATATTCAATATCACGATATTAAATATTATCATATAGTAAATTAAATGTATAATTATTCTAGATTCTTACATATGATACATATTTATCAAAATGGGATATAAAGGTAGGCTAATTATTATCTACGAGAATTCGAGAATTCTAACATTACATAGGATTAATCTTTCAACTTTTCATTTTAGAATGCCACGGTTGCTCATGGCGCAATTCCAGTTCCACGACAAGGTCATTCAGCATCCATAGGTAACATCTCTAATATAACTTATTTGACGATACATATACTTTTATGCTGACAATAAGTATTTATATAATAGCACCAGATGGTCGGATTTTTGTATATGGTGGCTATGATGGTAATGACAATGCAATTGAGCTTAATGGAAGTTATCCCATATTTGCGGTTCTTGAGCTTGTTAGTAACGAATTTGTGTGGTCCATTCCTGAACTCATCGGTCTGGCGGGTAATTTTAGGATCTTCCATACCTCACATGTATTCGAGAATTATTTGATCGTTACATTTGGTACGAGTTTCTATAATCGTATAAAATTTACAGTATGTATAATATATTAAGTTATAATATTATTTTCTATTTATAATAATTAGGGCAAAATAAAACGAATGGTAGAATGAGTACAATCGATCTGATTGATATAAGTAATAGAGATATTTATAAATTTGTCACAGACTTTACACCACAGGGTTATGTACCACCTGTACCATCATCATCATCACCACCATCATCACCATCTCTTAATAACATCATAATAGCAACAGTAATTGGTTCCGTTGTGGGTTTGGTTGTTGTTGGATGTACTTTCTTTTTGATAAGACGTTATCGACATTATAAATATCGAGATGTTATTCCTACTAGTTAAAAGAATTTAATAATAGAGGTATTATTTTAAATGTTATTGGAATTAATGATAAATTTGGATTTTTCACTCTAACAAAGTAATTAATTTAAGCCCATATTTTTTTTATTTAGGGAATTTAAAAATCATTGATCGATTAACGCATATTATTAAATAATTAATTAATTTTTCGAATACTATAGACATAAAATGCAGAATAGACGAAACAATGCATAAAGTAACTCTGGTAGTTATTTTTTTTCAAAACCACATTTTTTTCATTAATTAATTAACCAGATGGTTTGATCGAACAATCATGGTAACTTGATCTATCAAATTATCAACATTTTATAATATTTATTATCCTGATTTTATTCATTAAGATCATTTTATTTAATAAACAAGTCAACTGTAAATGTAATTCAAGGGATCTCTTATTTATTTGTGATTAATAACTAACACAAATTTAAATATGCCAACACAAAAGTCAAAAGTTATAAACAATTCTATTTAGATCGATTAAAAAAATATCTAAACGGTTAAATTTTATTTCAAATGATGCCAATACAGGTTGTGTGGTTCTGCAAAGGTAAAAAGGAGAGATAATCTTGATCTGTTTTCATGTGATATTAGTAACAGTTAGTAATACAAATTATCCAATTTATACAATAGAATGATTAACCGCACAAAAATGTTCGTCTGTCCGTCCGGCACGTGACGAAGTACACTCTTAAACAGCACTTCCGTTTCCTAGTATAGTTAATTTGTCAACAAAATGATCAGCATTTGATTTTGAAGATCATGTTATTTTATAAAAGAACCTTTGATGTGGCGGGTGGTGGTGGGACTTGGCGTTAAATTAAGCTTATTTATTTTCTGCAATTTGTAAGATTTTGATTAAAACGAAAAATATAAATTCACTTATTATAATCCTATTTAAGAACCATTAATAGAGTTTAATTAATTTATTTTATTAAATAAAAAATTTATCATCTATAACAAAGTAAATAACCGTTATATCGATTTAATATATTGGATCAAATTTGAAGTAAAAATAAATATATTCATTTCATTGTCTCACAAATCTGCGTCAATACCAAAGAAACTTTTATTTTCTTAGCTAATTTGGAAATCCAACCATTCACTTCAGTATCTCTTTAATTGATCAATAAACCCAAGCTGCTCTATAAATTTTATTTACTTACGGCAAAAATTCCATAATAAACAATAACTTCATTTATCACTTGGGTTTAATTATTGTCATAATTTTATAGAATATTTGACAAGTTTGACGACTTTCAATATTTCTTATTCTCGACTATTATTACATTCATTGCAATTACGAAATATGATCAAATTTTATGGTACATACACTGATCAATACATAAGAAAGAAAAGTTAGTGTTGTTCATATTAGCTTTATATGGACGAAGTTTTTTATCCAAATTGGAACATTGGTTGCTTTGATCTTAGTTATTATATGTTTTCTTTTGTGATATCAATAAAAAATTATAAATATTTTTAGCCAAAGCATTTTAAAATAGTGTTTTCTTCTTTTATTGTGTATTATTTTCATGTATTTAATAAATTTTATATAGTTTTGGGGTATTTCAAACAGTCGATCAGGTTTTTCAAAAGATATAGATGCGAAACTTCTAAATAAAAATTATTATGGCGATCAGAACGATCAATCATCAGTTTGTGTAACCTGTAACGGTGATCGAGAAAATCGAATAAATATTAGCAACAAACATACAATACTCGTAAACAACATTAAGCGCCTGTCCTGTCCAACAAACATTGACGCCATAAATACTAAATTATTTTCACTTTCATGCGAACGGAATACGTACTATTTTAATTTTACATATCAGATATACAGTACATATATATATATATAACAGATAATGAAGTTTTCTTTTTTCTCCAACTATAGAGCGAGAATTTAACAGATGGGGAACATCGTGATTTTTAATAGTAGTAGGTGATTGATTATACATTTTTTCGGTCAATCTCGTGCGTATATATATGTCGTATGTGGTTCCGAATACCGGTGGAATCGGATCTTGGCCAGCATTACGAAATCCTAATCCGGCACTATGCTTAATTCTGGCCAACATCCCGTATATATCCACATATGTGAATTCGGAATTCACATAGATTCCGTTTCCACCTACAACATATATATGTATATTGAGTTACTAGAATTACCATAAAAAAATGTATTTTTTAATATATTAAGTTCAGGCCCATTTGTCAATGGTATTGATCATATTTCTTCGTAAAAATGCTCGCAAATACTGTACATACATACAGTCGGTAAATGGTTAATAACCACTTTTTAATAAAATTATTTATAACAGACAAAACATAATGATATAAGGAAATTCTAAAATGAATTCTTTTTTTCACTACATTAATACTTGTAATTAACGAGAGGTATGAAAATCACTACATTGGTTATAAAATTAATCATAATTGTTAACGTAACAATAACGTTTACAATCGCTCGACCAACAAGTATACGTTGTTGTTATGGTTCAACGATAGCAAATAATAAACTTTATATTGGAGGTGGCCTCATAGGTTCCTTTACTTTAGATTTAACCGTTCCGTTTTCTACGCAATCACCATACATTTAATACTGTATGTTTTTATGAGATGCATGCAAAAGTCCAATTCACACACGCTTGTATAGGCAATGGATAATGAAGGCGGAAGTATATATTTTTTTGGTTGCTTTGGAGTTTCAAAAGGTAATAGTATATACAGATACTCTCTAAAGTTAGGAATGGCGCTATGATGCCTTCCGAATCTACAACTAAAGTTGTTGGAGTTACGAATAGTAACAATAATATTATGATAATAGCATCATGTACATTCATGACGCATTAAAAAAAAATATTTGTATATTTATTTCTCCCAATTTGCCATTTATTATTATGCTACCGTTACGCTAAATACTGGTGTTATTGCGTATATTTGTGGCGGTAAATCACCAAATAATAATAAGTACAATATTCCTACGAACGAGGTAAAATATTCAATATCGTTATATCAAAATATTTCCATATAGTATAGTATATAAACGTTTAATTATTTAGATTCTTATATATGATACAAAATTATCAAAGTGGGATATAAAGGTAAGCTAATTATTACTATCTACGAGAATTCTAACAATACATAGGATTAATATTTCAACTTTCAATTTAGAATGTCACGGCTGCTAATGATGCAATTCCAGTTCCATGACAATCAATAAGTAACATCGACGATACATATACTTTTTATGCTAACTATAATTATTTGTATAATAGCACCAGACTATCGGATTTTTGTATATGGTGGCTTTGATGGTGATGAAAATACAATTAAGTCCAATGAAAGTTCTTGAGTTTGTTAAACATGGGTCAGTTTTAGTCAAATTATATTTTAACGCACCCCCAAAAAAAATTACGAAAAACTCGAAGATAGGATTATTTAGTACCAAAATAATAAGCTAAGAAACGTAATAAATAGCTTTAATTCGTTTTATATATCCCTATAAAAATTTTTCGGAAAAATGATCACGTGTCTGAGTTTCTTTGGAATAAAAACTAGAAAAATGATCATTTATCGGAGAATTTTTTTTATTGAGTATTATTGATACAGTTAAACAAAATAAAAAGAATTGGTATTTTCCACGTCTAAGTATAATACATCCTTTTGTGTGTACCTTTCTAATACCCGATGAATTTTTAATAAGTGGTAGTGTTTATAATTTTTCTTGTATTTTATTTATTATCGCAATATGAATATCTATTGAACATACGGTATGTAAATATTTAAGTTATGAATAAAAATTTATTTTGATAATAATGTTTAAGAATGTATATGTCTTTGTCTCTTATTTTACATTATATTTTAGAAAGCATAACCGACAAGATGTTCAACAAATACGATTATTTTAAGAAGCGTTAGCAATTAATATAATGTAAATACTAATATACCGTACTGGGTTACGGTACATTTGTACTGTTGTACATCATCATTATCTTACTTAATTTAAAAATGTATTGACAAGGTTAATACATTTAGCGCCATAAATTCCCATAATAAAGATTAAATAATTGAACTTAACATTCTATCAAAAATACAAAAATTCTTTCAAAAATCAATTTTTTATTCAAAGTGCTATATAAAGGATTTCCAAGATATTTTTTTTCAATACTTTGTTGTAGGATAATATAATTTTTAACGTACAAAACTAAGCAAGTAATTTCGTATTCATATGAAATTTTATAATCAATCATATAAATCGTGTATTAAAAATTGAAAATAAATATGGAATTGATTCTACCAAAATTGAATTAATTGAAAATAAATCAATCTTAAAAATTTTTTTTATTGATAGAATTGAGGTTTCGAAACGAAACTTAGGCCGAGTTACTCCTAAATTGCGTTACATTAAAATAAAAAGATAATCTATTTTAAATAAACGGCTATCGTTAAACATGGAAAAATATATACTATGTCATAGGCTCATAGCCGTAGAACGTCACAGTCACACTGGTCACAGTCGTCACATGATTGTTGATTCATGCAGTTTAGATTGAAAATCGAACAATATTAGTAACAAACATTTAAGCGTCTATTCAACAAACATTAACGCCATAAGTACTAGATTAATCTTACTTTCAATTCCAATGGGGTATTTTATACTATTTTTAATTTACTCCAAATATAGAATTTAAATTTTGTCAATGGCTTCCAACTTTACATTTTAATGGCATTGATGACGATTTTTCTTTTTAGAACGTAGTAAAATGCTAACATGCACATGCTTACGTAAATGCATGCAGTCGGCAAACACTTTTTAGTTAATAAAATTATTGTTTATAACAGACGAAATGTGAAAGAAGAAAATTCTAAAACTGAATAAGTGAATTCTTTTTTTTCATTATTTAATATTAGTAATTAACTAGGGATATGAAAATTACTACACTAGTCATAAAATTAATCATAATTGTTAGCGTAACAATTATAACGTTTACAATCGCTCAATCAACAAATATACGTTGTTGTCATGGTTCAACGATAGCAAATAATAAACTTTATATTGGAGGCGGAATTACAGGTCCTACTGATAATAATATTAGTTCGGATGATTTTTTTTCTTTAGATTTAACCGTTCCATTTTCTACGTCATCACCAACTGATATGCCTTACGAAGAGCATCCAAATGTTCTCGTAAAGTCTAATGGACATGCACTTGTATATGCAGTAGGTAAAGAAGGTGAAATGATTTATCTTTTTGGAGGCTTTCGAGGTGATCCAAAAGGCGAGCTCATATACGGATACTCCCTAAAGTTCAAACAGTGGAGTGAAGAAACACCAGAAACACCAAATGGTATGCCGGTTGGAACTACATCCAAAATTGTCGGAGTTACTGATAGTAATTTAAACACTATTTTTATATTTGACAATGGCACCATGCATATTTTTGACGTATTTCGAAATATTTTGTATATTTCTCCCGATTTTGCGCCTTACAAAATTCTTAATTATGCTGCCGTAACGCTATATACTGATGAAATTGCGTATATTGGTGGTAGTAATGGCACAAACAACATTCCAATGAATCAGGTAATATATTCAATATAATTGATATCGGCATATATATTTTCCATAAACATATAATTGTTTTTTAGATCCTTGTATATAATACAAAAATATCAACATGGTATACAAGAGTAAGTTATTTATTTGTGAAAATTTAAAATCAATAATTTTTTTATAAGATTAATATTTCAACTTTTTCATTTTAGAATGCCAATGGTAGAATTCCATCACCGCGACAGGGACATTCGGCATCCATAGGTAACATCTCTTATTTGACTTGACTTGTCTTGTTTAATATTCTAACTTTAATTATTCATATAAAAGCACCAGATGGTCGAATTTTTGTATATGGCGGTTTTGATGGTAATGACAATGCGACTGCGTCCAATGAAAGTGATCCCATATTTGCAGTTCTTGAGTATGTTAATGGTGAACTTACTTGGTCCACTCCTCAGCTCTTTGGTCAATTGTACCAATTTAGGATCTATCATACCTCACATGTATTTGAGAATTATTTGATTATTACATTTGGTACGAGCGTCTATATAATCATATTTTACTTATAGCATATAATACGATATAAATTTTAATTTCATTTGTTACAATAATTAGGTCAAAACCTAACGCATAATAGGATAAATACAATTGATATTATAGATATAAGTAATAGAGACATTTATAATGCTGTCAAAGACTTTGTACCACCAGGTTACGTACCACCGACGCCACAACAATCTACTTCTAATAAAAACATTATAATAGCATCAGCGCTTGGTTCTGTTGGATTGTTGATTATTATTGGATGTACTTTCTTTTTGATAAGACGTTATTATAGAAATCGGAATGTTATTCCTACGCCTGGTGAAGAAAGAATATAATAAAGATAGTATTTTATAATGCTGTAAAATTTAGGTTTTCAATTTATTTTATTATTATTTTATTTTGTTTAGGGATTTTATAGTTTCAAAAATCATGATCGATTAATTGATCACGTATAGTCATGATCAAATCGATTAAATTGATTTGAACGATTTTTGGATTTTTATTCGATCGTGTTATTCGAAATAAAAAAATATATAAATTGATCGATGAATCAAATTATTTTATTGATTTTTATTGTATTAAAATCAATCGATAAGAATCTTATTAATTGGTACAGTATCAATACAGTAATAAACTACAAAATAAACGAAACAATGAAAATTTAATAATCAATTAACCATGATAGGTTTAATCGATCAATCATGGTAACAAATTACCGGGCAAAATTTATTCGATTTTAATTGAAACCAACATTTTATCGATTAACTGTTAATTGATCAAGATGATTATACTTAATTCGATTAAATCACTTAATTTATTACCGTATTTCCACAATAGTGCTTTACGCAAAAGCTTAATATTTGTTTCTGTAATATGTAAGATTTTGATTAAAACGAAAATTAATTGTCTTCATTTTTCATCCAATGCAGATAAAGTTGTCAGAAACCTTGTCTGTAGAACTCAGTTTTCAATTGTGACGGAGATATTGGATGAATTGGAAGGTGAAGTTTTGTTCATAACGTCCACAGCTTGATCCATTTTAGAGAAAATCAAGAAATTAACTGTTAAATCTACAAATTATAAGCTCAGAGTTCTTCAATGAACAAACCTTGAAATATTACGATGCTAAAACTGGTTCACGATTACTACACTTTCTATGACCGATCACGATGGGTTGGTTACTCGACTGTATCAAAATGAAAAAGCAGAAAATTCGAAAGAAGCTTTTGTATAAAGGAAAGGGTTGTGATCATACTGGATTAGTACGCGGAAAAACAGATGAATTAATTTCACGATTCGATGCAAATGCCAAATGGCATTGTATTAGTCTATGATGAAGGTTAGAACCAACGCGAAGTGTTTAGTAAATTTATTTCTTGTACTAGTTAATCTATATAGAAATTTTTTTCTTTTTTTTTTGGTAATGTAAATAATTAAATTTATTATTAAACTCTTAACAAATTATTCAAATAATATATGCTCTTAACAATTATTTTTAATCAATAATGTTTTGCCTATAACTTACAAACTCACTGGCCGCGAAGTACAATTCAACTCATAATGTTGGTGTTATGGAATAATAAAATTTCTTATTAAAAATTATTTATTAAAGAATCCTTTGACTATTGATCTTACAGCCTAAGTCAAAAAAAAAAATGTTTAATTTTTTTATGTTTGTATCATTTGTTTATTTTAATTCTGCTTTAAGTTACTCAATCTTAAGGACATTAGTAATAGTTCACTACATGATCCATTTCAATGTTTTGATTCGACAAAAGTATCGATTAATGAAAAAGAAAAATGAAAAAAATTGAATGTGCAGAATGCAAAAGACGAACGAATATCAAATAGAATTTATTGTTTGTGTAAATCTCAGACTTAATAGAACTGGTAGAATTACAATTATTACTGGTTTTTAATTAGAAAAAAAATTTCTGACATGAATTTTCTAAAAAAATAAATTTTTATAATGTACAGGAGAAATTTCGGATTTGCTAAGCATAGACAAGTGATAGACGAGACGTGGATAATGAAATATCGATTAAAAAAAAATAAAATAAAATATTGATAAAAAAATATCGATAAGAAATACAATGATAAAAATAAAATGTAGATAAAAAATAAAATATAGATAAAAAAAATAAAACAGATAAAAAAAAATTAAATATTGATAAAAAAAATAAAATATTATTGACAAATAAAATATTGATAATAAAATAATAATAATAAAAAGAAACCCTCTAACAAAAAAATCAAAACAACCTGCATTTATGACATTACTTCTCGTAATTTTGAATCCATTTAGTTTGAACAAACCAATTCCACGATTTACGCGGCAGCAGAAATTAGTATGTATTTTGCTAATAGATATTGAAGAGTCGTAATGTTGTAACTACGTGAGCTTCTTTAGGATGTAAATATCATAATGTGAGAGTTGTATAATAGATCGAGGTTTTGAATTCCAATTGGAGTGTCGAATTGTCAAGTTTTAAGGATTCAATCATTTTCAATAATTTAGTACGGATGGACTATCCCTTGTTGGGATGAATTGTCCGTAAGTTTCTGTTATTTTAACAAGTTTTTGAGGATCTCTTGAAGTTATGGCATCCTTTACTTCTTCAATAAATTCAGAGATCAATTCTAAATATTTATCAAATTTAAAATACATTTTTCCATAGCCTGCACAAATATGTGAAATATTTTCATCTAAATTTAAGTTCAAATTCTTTGATTTCACATTAATCATCTTTGAGGCAGGTTTCAAAAACTCCATGAATCCTAATACGAGCTCTGGCATTAGCATTGGGATCAAGTCCTGCCATTGCCTGAATTTTTGAACCCAAAGTAACAGATCTTCACTAGATAAACCTCTAAATTTCTTAGGTGCGTATTCTGCCATTTGTGTAAAAGTTTTTCTTGAATAAGGATTTTTCTAATTTTATTATTTCTTTCTTTCAGTACGAGAGAGAGCTCCACGTAGAACCTTAGAATGTAAAGTTTTATCAATGGAAATAATTTTATGAAAATACGAGTTATGTGTTGATGATTTTTTGTGGATTAGTTTTAAGAAAGTAAAAAAATTTTTTTTTTAGAATTTTTTTTTACAAGAATGGGTACTTTTTGCACGATATTTATATATAAATTATACAGTACATTAATGTACATATATATTGTAAATTTGTAATAAAACCAATGAATTTTACGAATTCAAAGAATTCTTTGTCTATTTTTATTATTATAATTATGGATAATAATTGTTCTTAAATTGGTATATATATATATATATATATATAATAATAAACATTTTGTAAATCAATCCAATTTATCGTGAGATCATCTTTGATTTCACCATTTTGGCTTATATTATTAATGAGCTAATATAAATAAATTTCCACATGATAATATGAAACTGTGTAGGACTTTAGTGTATTATTAACAAACCAAATTTATTGGCACAAAACCTTTCATTAGAAGAATAAATATATAGTATTCCATAAATTGATAAAATCATAATATAATGATAAAAAAATTATATTTTATAATAGGGAAAATGCAGATTTTATCAGAAAATTTAATGACTCCTAAATTAGGTAACATAAAGTTATTAAAAAATTCATTTTCATATCCTGTCCGGGTGAGAATCTCAAATTTTTTCATATTTAACCAATAATCTATATAACTAAAAAAATTTGACGTTTGGATTAGTTTCCGTATAAATAATTTGAATTGTGTAACATGCCATATAATTAAACCCGTGACAATCGTGACATGCTTCCGCCTGATCTATTTATGGTCTCATTCCAATTAACCTAATCCAGTTAATGAAATTTTAACCTTATAAACGTTAATCGGGAATTTTTTTGTTGATTATTAATTTTTTTTTTAAAAAAAAATTTTTCGATCTTTTTGGACCGAATTATTGTCCTTTTTTTTCAGAATTTTTTTTTTCAATATTTATTTCAAATTTTTTTTTATTATTATTTTTTCTTTCTTTTTCCCTTTTGGTTTCTTTTTTCAACCGATTTTTCACTTTGTCCCTCTTCCCAATTTTTTTTTTCCAGTTTTTTTCGAATTCTTTAAACCTTTTTCTTTTTTCCCAATCCGAAAAAATTTTTTTCACTTTTTCTTTTTTTCAGTTTGGCTTTTTTTTTCAAACCGAATTTTTCACCATTTAGGTTTGGATCGGATCGGTGCTGCAGGCAACGGTAAGCACCTTATTTTTTTCGTTTCTTTTTTTCTTATTGGTAAATTTAGGATTTTTTTTTACTACAAGATCATTTCCGCGAAATAATCAAAAATAAATATATGGTTTCTTTATTTGAATCTATATAACTAAAATGAAATAGATTTAATTAATATGACTATATAATAATACTTATTTAAATATTGTTTTTTTTATTATTAACTATAATATTAATGCTAATAAAGAAAATTTATATATAATGTTACTATGATATTTTTTTTATGTAAAAATAAAAAACAATTTTCTACAAATATAACGTGTAATAATATTAATATTGTTAATACTAAAATCTATATGTCTTCTCCCTAGGGAAATATTTGAAGGTGAAGCACCTGAACAACGTAAAAAGAGATTACATAATGAAAAGCAAGCACATTATCACTATGAAAAGAGGTAAAAAAGACCAAACATAATTGGGTGTAAGTCTTATAGATGGGCAGTATATTAACACATCATGAACTGGGAAGGATGAATCAGATTTGCACTTATTGTGGTGCTAAATTTTGGATAGACGAAAGAAACCATAATAGCAGCCAAACTTTTCCATCTTTCGCAATGTGCTGTGCTTCTACTTGAACCACCATCATATTTACTAGATTTATATACTTCATCAAGTTTTGAATCAAGTTCATTTCGCAAAAATATAAGAGCCTATATTAAATTCTGATATGGTCAATTTTTTTAAAACTGAATTTTCAATATTTCTCATCCTAGTTTTTTTCTCTTTATAATAATCTATACAAATATGTTTTTAGATCTAGATCAGTGATTGGACCTTTAACGTACAATTATTTTTTATTCCCTAGATTCTACATGGTTAATTTAATATATACAATTTACTTTAATAATTCGTTTTTATAGATAAAAACAACTAAAGAAAAGGAAGAAAATTCACAGGTAACACTGCAATCCTACAGTAAGTATCACCTCTTAGGTTTTGATCGGCGATACAATCAAAATAAAATATTTTTTTTATTGAATAAATATACTTTGTTTGATTTTTTTAGTTAGAATAAAATATGTTTTTTTCTTACTTAAAATAAAAAAAAAACATGTTAATATTATAAGATCATAATTTATCTAAATATAAAACAAAAATAGAATAGGTTGCGGCTAGTATTGCTCTAAATTATATTGTTTTCGTGATTTGTAATAGTGAGATACTACATTACTACTAAGTGTATAAATATTTCCTTATTTCCGTCTTTTATAAAATAAATTTTCATTTGGGTACACATGTTTGTTTCCAGTTTAGTGAAAGAAAATGTATTCTTAATATTTGGTTCAGACATACAAAAAATACATAAATGTACCATTAATTCACTGAGAGAGACTATAAAAAAAAAATGAAAATGAAAAGATAGATTTTGAAAAGACTTCAAAATTAGCGATCAGAGATGGCTTTCACTTGGCCACACAAAAGAATCAGTTGGTTACGTACTAATAATCTGATCAATGAGAATTTTACAACGCACATGTAAAATCCGCAGCATTTTAACATCGTTCACGTGGATAATTTTCTTCACAGTGATTTCTTCTTCTGTCCCGTAATTCTTAGTTTATCATTTGTAAATTGTTTTATAACAGCGTCACTTAGGGTTGATGACAGCATAAAAGAATAATTTTTCTATTTTTGTTAAATAAAATAAAATAAAATAAAATAGGGGACATACTCATATAATTATCAGGACTCCTTTAAGCAAACAAGTAATTAAAATTTTTTTAGGATTATAATTTTTTGTTCCAATAATTTTTTGATAAAAATCTTCTAAAAAGAATTCTCATTATTCATCATATTTGTTTTTAATACATGTTTTTATTTTTTTTAGAAAAAAAAATTGTCGTTACGTTCCACAACACCAACAAAATACTGTACGTCATACGACAATATAATCGCACGTCTGAAATGTGTGTCAGGTTGACGGCGCAGTGTGGCGCAGTAATTCAAAAAAAATCTAAGTTAAAGATTTTCTTTTTAATTTAATGCTTTCAAATTTACATATTAGATGTATTTTCATCTGTTTTACAAAATTCACTTATAAACGGAAGGAGGTTTTGGACGTAGATTTTGACTTTAGTATATAACAACTGATTTTATCGTCTTTGCCGATCATTTCCAAAATTGGATTTGTCAAAAAAACGGTTTTTGTTAAATAACTCGAAAATGGCCTTCTAAACCGCCCGTATATACTCTAAGTAAATTTGTAGAGCGGACGAAAATACATCTAGTGCAGTAATTTAAAGGTTTATTTTAAATAAAAAAAATTGCAATTTAATTTTTTTGGGAAAAATCGCTGCGCCACACTGCGCCGTCAACCTGACACACATTTCAGATGTGCAATATAATCCTTATTACTTATTATTAATTAAGAATTGCAAAATTATTATAGAATCTTACATTTGTTAGACAAGTTTAAATCCTGAATCATGTGATACATCAGTCCATCAACAGATCAACTGCAATCCTGCATCTATTAAATAATAAGGAAATTACGTCAATATCACATTTCCGTTTCTCCTTTACTATTTATTTATATTTTTTTTTAGACAATTGTTTGATTTTCTCGTAAGTTGTTATATTTTTCTCCAACATGTCTAGTTTGTCTACCAACATTTCTATCTTTAGCACTGCGCATATGAAAAAATATATGTACATACTTAGTCAAATATGGTCAACCATATGATTAAGTGATTGGTAATATTCGTAATTATAAAAATTCGAGAATTTTTTTCAATTAATCAATCAAATCAATCATTTTAAATCATTGTTCATAAAATCTTCCCTCATATTCGCAAGTATTATTTTAGATAATAAAATTTTCCATTTTATATTCGAAAGTATTATTTTTTATAAAACTTTTCCCTTGATTACAAGTACTTTAATGGCTACCACTACTACAGAATTAATAGGACCAGAGGAATCTGGTTTGCCTTATTTTACTTTGAACACTACCCTCGAACCAACAGCTCTTATAAAACCTCTCAACTTCTTCTATAATTGACGCAGTCATTTCAGAATACTCAAGACGCTCATTTAAGGTTATGTCTTGATCCTATATTGTGGTATGACGTCTATCTTCATACTAAATCTGACCTTGATGAAGTAGTTAACATCACTAGGAACTATATTACAAAAACATGAGCAGAACCCTGTCTGACGAAGATGGACCTTTTACAGTTGATTTTAAAGAAATTGACAAAGCCTATATTCCATGCAATAATAGAACCCCATTTCATGATGAATCAACTTGTACGCAAAAAATTTCAACTAGCACTTCAAGTACGCAAGTGAAGGGGGATACTCTTGAATATGAAGTAAAGAAGAAGTTTGAAGAGATCAATGTTACAGTGCATGGTGTACTGTAAAGTGAGTGTTTTGTTGAGTTGTTGCAGGTCCAAATTACTCACATAATGATTGCAGTGAACTAGAAATACAACGGTTACAATCAGCAGAAGCCAATTAATGTTAGAAAATATTAAGGAACTCATAGAGTTGACCAGGTCTGGTAATGATTCCATTAATGATTTCATTAAAGAACTTGCAGAGCTGACCAAGTCCAGTAATGATTCGATCAAAGTTTTGATCGACAAACTTACAGGAGCAATGATTAATTTTTGGAATTATATAAAAAAGATAAAGATAAACTGGAGGAATGAGAATTCAATAGTGTTAAGTATGTGTAGGAATCTAATCATTCCCTAGGTTGCGAGATAGAAATATTTAATTGACAACGTAGATAACAAATAAAGGACAGAAAAGTTGCATTATTTTGACACTCATACTATTAATAATATTTAGGGGGTATACATATAAACTGTACTGTACGATCAGCTAAACTGTACTGTACGAATAATCATTGTACGATTTTTTTTCCGTACAGTACAGTTCTTTTTTCACGTGATTTTGTCACGCATATATTTAATCTGTTTGTTTATCGCAGATAATCTTTTTTTCATCCACTTTTCGTGTACTATTTTTTTTTTCTTTTGTTCTCTTATTTTTTGAAATCTTTTTTTTAAGACTTAGAATGACTTTCTTAGAAAAGTCTAGCGCACAGTTCAAGGTAATTTTTAATGTGTTTTTACTATTTTACTGTTTTATTTATTTATTTATTTATTTATTGCTTTTTAATCTAATTAATTAAAACAATTATTAATTGATTAAAGACTAAAAATAAATAATTTTAATTGTATAGTTTATTTTTTATTGTAAAAATTTAGAAAACCGTCATAACTTAAAAATTTTAAATCTTATATCTGGAAAATTTCTGGTAGAATATTAGTAGTAAAGCTCCATTACTATTGATAAAATTTTTCGGAATAAGGAGAACGAAAATTTATAATATATTCATATGAGAGAAATATCTTAACGTAAGACTACTATAAACTTCAATTGTAATATCATAAAATTCATCATTCTTTAAAATATCATTATATAAAAATAATTTTCTTTTCTTTTATTTTTTTTTATTTTTTTTAAAAAAAACCAATTCTTTTTTATTCTGACGTCATGACAATCATTATTAATCACGTGTGCATTGGTTCAGCTGTGCCAGAACAACTAGGGTATCAAAGTTAGAAAGTTAGGAGTCAACTTTTTTCATTGCAATACATAATAGACACATACGCTACCAACCTTATTACGTCTGAAGTTAGTAATGGCTAATGACCATCAAATAAAATATTTTCTTATTAGTGAATTATCAATCTCTTTATTTACAAGAAAAATCATATTAAATAATTATAAAAATAGCGATTCAAAATAAATTCGCGAAAAATATTAGAATTATTTCATTTGAAATCTTATACAATCAATAAATACAAATTATTTTGTGCTCACATTGAGCCAATAAAAATTATATTTATACCAAACCTTTAAAGTGGCATGAGTATCTAACGTAAAATTTATGTCATTTATGAAAAAAAATTGGGTTTGTTACGAATACATAAACTTAATAGTAAAGAAAATTCGTTTTATTTGCTATATTAAATATATAGGCACGATAGTGCCGCAGTTACGAGGTCACGTTGTGCTGAGACTAATATTCAACTATTAAATTAAATTAACCGGATTACACTACAACTACATGTTAATATAAATATTAATACTATAAATTTGACTCATCAATATTATTAATGTCTATATCAAATTCCTTGGTAACATATTCTATTTCTATAATTAAAAAAATTAAAACTATTATTTATATATTTATAAATAAAAAGAAAAACATAGAGTATTTACTTACCGTTGTGTTGTTGTTGATTCATATTTGCGTTAATATCTAATTCGATTTCTTTCGTAAAATAATCTAAAAAAGTATTTAAATTTATTTTGATTTATAGAATTTACATAATAATAAAAATGTTATTTATGTAAAAATAAAATTTTATTTACCATGATTTTCATTCTCAAATAATTTTCTCCTTTTAATACTTTGATCTAATTATATTTTTTTAAAAAAAAATCGTAAATGAAAATTAAAATAGTTGAAGACCAATAAAGTATACTGAGTTATCAATTTTTATTAGATAATTATGCATGGAATCTAACTTTATCATACCGTTGATATTACTGTCTTCAACAAAACCTTTATCGACCTTTCTTTTATCTGTAAATGAATAATGTTATTAATAATAATACAAAGCGTCACATTAAACGTAAACTGAGTAATTACCAGCAGATGCCTTGCTATTTTTCTGGTAATAATAAAATGGATCTAAGTAATTGTTAAAAAAAGTTAGAATTTTCTTTACAATAAAACAGTCGTCAATATAATAAAAATGTTTACCGATAGATTGACTTCTTGATCTCCTTAAAGACATTGCGGATTGAATCATTTGACTTAAAGGTCTACTCTTATAAACGGCGCCTAGATTATTTATTGTTACAGGTCCAATATCTGATGATTTTATAACTTTGGTTTTACCATAATATTCTTTACTAAACATACTATTAAATATAATACGTATATCTACAGCTGTGGGTCTTTTATTTGGATCAGAATGCCAGCATTCTTTCATTAATTCAATATATTCTTCAGGTGCATTTGTAGCAATTGGTGGTCTTAAACCATCATAAATATCAATAATAAGTTCTGTATCATGATTTCGATCCCAAAAAGGTCTTCTACCTGTCATAAATTCCCACATAATCATACCGAAACTATATATATCTGAGGCTGTAATATATTTTTGCCCTTGAAAAATCTCTGGAGCCATATAAGGAATAATACCATAATTCTCATTGCTATTATCTGTACATTCAGTTGCAGATTTACTTATTCCTAGATCACCTATATATGCAGAGATATAATTAAAAAAGATATTTCCACTATGTAAATCTCTGTGGATAATTTTTGCTTCATGTATATTCTTAAGTCCATATATTATATTATCTAAATAACCCAATTTTGTTTTCCAATTAATATTATAAAAGTCATTACTTATATAATGTATCAAATCACCTGAATTATAATATGGCATAATAATCATAATATCTTTGGTAATAGGATCTTGAGTAATTCCAAAATAATTACTAATAAAACTTTTACTTGCATTCTTATTTGAAAAAATCTGATAAAATACCTTGAGCTAAATAAAAAAATCATTAGTTTATCATCATCGTATTGAATATTTAAAACTATTAAATGTGCTATACCTCATTTAATTCCTTGGACGCAATGTTTTTAGAATTGTTAAGCTTTTTGAGAACAACGGTATAATTTTTTCTACGAGTAATATTCCAATGATTATTTTTAATCTCATCCCAATTATTGATAGGACCATCAACCCAAGTAGCTTTATAAATTTTACTAAATCCTCCTTCAGCAATAAATTCTATATTATTGAATTGATCATAAGGAATAAACTCCATTTTACCATCATCTATAGTGGCATAATTACTTTGAGTATATCTGATAAAATCGTCAATAACTTTGTTTCCACTTTGTTTAGGCTTAAGTATTTTCTTTATATTGTAACACACGTGACAAATCTCGTGACTTTTATCAAAAATTTTTCTTTTTATATTACATTCATTACATTTCTTATATATGTTTTGTGATTTTCGTGTCGGCTGAGTTGAAGGTGTGTTGTCCGATATTAAAATATCAGTTTTATGTTTATAACTTACTGGTTGCTCCATTATTTCAAACTATCTAAAATAAAAATTTCGTTCATTTGTAACGTTCAAGAAAACTTTCTAGTATATATATATTTGTGGTAAAATTTAACACGGAATTCTTTTTCCAAATTTTCATGAAAAATTCTATGCATTCATTTCTTGCAAGTAAATAACCTAGACGCTTATTTCGGAAGAATTTTTGAATGAGATTTAACAAGAATTCCATCAAAGAATAAAAGAATTCCGTCAAAAAATAAAAGAATTCTATCAAAGAATAAAAGAGTTCCATCAAAGAATAAATAATTTTATAGGTACGGACTCATGCAATATATAAATAGGTAACGTACTCATAAAAAGGTGCAAACTTATTAGACGTAACTGTGACGGTAATTAATTAAGTCATATGCCGTCATATAAAGCCTATCATTAACCAAAAAAGGAAGGATCTACACGTTATTTTGGTTCATTCTACGCTCGCGGAGTCAACCGACAGAAAATTCACGTGGGGATGTATCACAATAGCGTAAAATAATAAAATTTTTTTTTTTGACTTTCTTAATCATTTTATTTATTAATCAATATATAAATTATATGTTGATTATTTTTTTTGTCCGAGAACGTAGTGGGACAATATAAAAATAATGATGAATTATAAATTTAATGCACACGATTTCTAAAAAAAAAATTATTAGATTAGATTTCTAATTTTTATGGTAAGCTTCATTTAATTTAAGAATTATAATTAGAACGTAACTAATTTTTTATTAAGTCATTGAACTTTGACAAAGGAATATAATATTTTAGATTTAAGTCTTGGATTCTGCCAGAGAACTATGAGAATGATAAACCAACTCGAAAATTATTAATGACAAAGGGTGAAATATTTAATTAAAATTGAACAAATTGGACAAGCAAAGTCTTAATAGATATTTTAAAATCAACCATTTACCGGATTAAAAAAATAATGTTACGGTAATAAAGTAATATTGCATCTAATTATCAATTTATCATATGGTTCCCTATATTTAGAGTTTATTAATTAGGCTTTCATTAAAATTTTCTTTTTATAAAGCATAAATAACCTTCTACAGTCAGGTGATGAATTTATCTAGTTTAATGAATTAGTGTATTTACTAATTATTAATATTTAATAGTTAGAGCATTATTATTTTATTTAACTTTACAATAATAATTGTATTTGAGAATAAATAAAGCATTTGAATTAAAGTATTATGAGTTAAAATTAATGACTAAGTAAAATAAGCTCGTGAATTAATTTAATTTAACATGTTAACTAGAGCAATTTGGGCATAAGTGAGCTGAGTTAAATAAATTGGATAATATATATTTGAGTAAATAATAAAAGAATTGTAACATGTATCAGTATCAGTTTTACTTACAATCTGACTTTATGACAGAGTCAGTAATTTTATTTGATAGTAATTAAAAAGCAAGATTTTTTTAATTATAAATAAGTATAATTTAATTTAGCTACATTTATATAAATTCCTCCTAAAATTAAAGTATTGAAAAA